GAAATGAAGTAGGACTCTGACATCCAGTCTGTAAAATCCCAACAGAGGTAGTGTGAACATTCTGTCCTTGACTCCTGCCCTAAACTCAGGCCTGGTGGTCTTATCGACACTTGGGGCTTCTACTACCAACTCCAAGAGGCTGTCTTTCAGTGCTCTCGCTCAGGTGGCAAACTCTGAGCAGTTGCCGTCTGGCAAATGTCACCTGGATATCCTGCCAGCATATTTAACCCAACATTTATTCCAAAATTCAGCTCCTCATCACTTTCCCATCTTCCCATCGAAGCTGTTCTTCCTTGTGGTACATCTTGTCTTTGGCAGTCCTTCCTCATGTTCTCCCCAGATCACACCTCTGCAGCCATTTCTGGCCCTCCTTCGCCCTTGTCTCCATCGGCTGCTGGCTAAGGCCCTTCACACAGCCTGCACGCTGAATGAATGAACAAACTAAGGGAATCAGTGACTCAGTCCTAGGTTCAAACTGTTGAAACCTTTCCTCCTCGGTGGTATCAGGATCTAAAGAGCATGAGGTAGAGATTATCAGAAGCAACGGTAAGGAGGAAGGCTCAGGGCCCAAGGCTGGTCAGCACAAGCAACATCGGGCTTCTTGACCCAGGGCTCCAGAACTGGCGCAGGGATCCCTTGTGTGGCAAGTGACTTGGTGGAAAAATGCACACAAGCAAGCGTGCAGTGCTGGTGGGAGTGTGACCTGGGCACCTTGGGAATCCACGTGTAATGCTGTTGTTGGGAATGTTGTCTCAAGGTACAAGACTTCAGTCGTCTCGTTGGGAGAGCGCTCGGGTTTCCTGTTACTTAGTGCTTAGTCAGCTACGGCTGCTCTCATAAATACCAGAGACTGAGTGGCTTAAACAGCAGGAGCTCACTTCTCACAGTTCTGCATGCCAGACGCCCAAGATCAGGGCTCCAGCACAGCTGGATTCTTGAGGAGGACTCTCCCTGGTTTGTAGACACTCCCCTCCTGGTTGCATCCTCCCATGACTGAGAGAGTGCGAGAACTCTGGTCTCTTAAACCTCTTCGAAGGGCACCAATCCCATCTTGAAGGCTATACCCCATGATGTCATCCAAACCCAATCACCTCCACAGTCCCTACCTCCAAACACTCCCGTTGCTGCTCAAGTTGGGGATTAGGGCCTCAGTATATGGATTTTGAAGGGACACACACCTTCAGTCCACAGCCTCTGGGCATTTATGCTAAGGACAGTAACTTCCTGCTTCCTAGTCATTACTTGGTATTTGTGTAGTTAGCAAATTTTAATCTTTATTATATTTCTTGCCTTCAAAATTGCAGAAGAATTACAAAGTACCATATGCCCTTTGTCCAGATTTACCAACTGTTGGTATTTCGTTATTTTGATTTTTTTTTTTTTTTGATGTTTCTCTCTCTCCGCCCCCCACCCCGCCTCAACACAATCTAAAAACTTCAGGTCTGTTTTCTAAGAACAAGCACATTTTCTCACATAATCACAGCATAGTTCTCAAATTCAGAAAACTTAACAGATACAAACGATTATATAACTTACATTCCATATGCAAAAAATTGCTCTGTCAGGGGAATTCTTTAGAGCAATCTTTCCTCCTTATCCCGAGATTCAGTCCAAGGTCACATTGGAAGCACACATTGCATTTAGTTCTAACTTTTTAAAATTATTTTTATTATATTTTATTAAATAATCTCTACCCAACGTGGGGCTCAAACTCACAACCCCTAGATCAAGAGTTGCATGTTCCACTAACTGAGCCACCCAGGCACACCAGCTATAAATTCTTTTTAATCTCCTTTAGTCTAGAACAGTTCTTGAAGCTTTCTTTGTGTTTCACGAATTGTCATTTTGGAAGGGTACAAGTTGGTTGTTCTGTAGAATGCCCTCCAGGTTTGGGTTTACCTAATCTTTGCTCACAATAGAGTTAGTTTATGCTTTCCCCTTCCCCCAGGAAATACCAGAGAAGGGATGTTGTGTCCTCAGTGTGTCACATCAGAAAACATGTGGTATCTACTGGTCCCATTATTGAGGATGTCAATTCTGATCCCTCGGTTAAGGTCTTCCACGTTTCCCTGCTATATAATTATAATTTCCCCTTATAATTAATAAGTAGCTTATTAATTAATAAGTAGTCTGTAGGGAGATACTTTAAGACTGTATGGATAATCTATGGATATTCAAGTAAAAATTTTCACTTGATAGTTTAATATACACTGATGGTTCTCCCCTCAGTTCATTATTGCAACAATGGTTACCATGTTGATTTTCCGACCCCATGGTTTCATCTATTTTTAGTCATTGGCATTTTATTGTAAACAGAAGTTTCACCTTTTTCCTTATTTAGTTAGTACTAGTATGGGATCTCTATTTCATTCTGTAGATTGTAATTCACTACCCTCATCATTTGTTGTAACGCTCAGGTAGTGCCAGATTTCTTGCAAGTGCCTTCTTTTCAGAGGCAGTCTGTCATTCCTGGAGGGCTTCCTTACTTTTCCACTTTCCCTGGGATCAACCATTACTTTGAGGAGCTTTGCTTGCTCCTAGTGGGGAATACTACTTAGAAAGCAAGACCCGAGCACTGCATGGGCTGAGTGCTCTCGCTTCAGGACTTCACAGTGGATGAAGTTGCAAAGAATAGTCATTTCATGGGGTCTTGCACTCATGCAGTGTAGCTTGCACTCATGCAGTCTACATAAAATTATGAATTTCGGGCCTCCTGGGCGGCTCAGTCAGTTAGGCGTCCAACTTCCGCTCAGGTCATGATCTTGCAGTTTGTGAGTTCAAGCCCCACGTCAAGCTCTGTGCTGACTTGAGCCTGGAGCCTGCTTCCGATTCTGTGTCTCCCTCTGTCTGTGCCCCTCCCCACTTGCGCTCTGTCTCTTTCTCTCTCTCAAAAATAAGTAAACATTAAAAAAAATTTTAAAAATAAAATTATGAAATTTGTACTGCTCCCTCTATCACGGATCCAAACTCAGAAGGTTCCTTGCCTTTCCCTATTCTCACTCTCCTCCTGGGGGAGAACCCTTGTTGCCAAACAGCAAAACATTTGCTCAACACTGAAACACACAAAATAGTTTCAGGAACTGCTACATCCATTCCAAAACCAAACCTACTAAGTAAAGTTCAAGATTTGTCTGTGTTTCTTTTTTCTTTACACTAATGATATGTAATTAAAGCATTGTGTTCAAAAGTTACTTGGATTTCTCCACTTTTCCCCTTTCACTGTGTCTGGTATCCATTTGAAACACAGGCGCATGTGTTTCAATTTGTACTTGTTTTTCAATTTTCGTTTTCTGCCCCCAGCTTTATTGAATTAATTTTATTGTTTGGAATAATTAAAACATTAGCATGATTCAAAAAGTCAAAACTCTACAAAAAGGAATATTTAGAAAACGGTGCTGGCAATTTTGAGTAATTTATTTTTTGCCTCATTATATTTAAAATTCTCTTTTAATTATTACCAGGTATGTCTCTCTTCAATAGGATTTGGTGAACACCCTGGAACACCCCTCCTTCTTGTTCCACTCAACTTTAGCCACCCTATATCCCTTTTCTTTCCAGCTTCATCGAGATATAATTGACATATAGCCTTATGGTAATGTAAGGTATACAATCTGATGACTTGGTATTTGTGTATATTTAGAAATGATCACCACAATAAGGTTAGTTAGCACATCCATTGCCTCACATACTTACCTGTGGGTTTTTTGTTTTTTCCTTTTGGTGGGGGGCATTGGGTTGGTGAGAACATTCAAGATCTACTCTCTTGGGGCGCCTGGGTGGCTCAGACAGTTAAGCGGCCAACTTCGGCTCAGGTCATGATCCCTCGGTCCGTGTGTTCGAGCCCCGCGTCAGGCTCTGTGCTGACAGCTCAGAGCCTGGAGCCTGTTTCAGATTCTGTGTCTCCCTCTCTCTCTGCCCCTCCCCTGTTCATGCTCTGTCTCTCCCTGTCTAAAAAATAAATAAAACGTTCAGAAATTTAAAAAAAAAAAAAAAAGACCTACTCTCTTAACTTTAAGCACATCATACGGTATCGTTGACTAGAGTCACCATGCTATACATTAGATCCTCAGAATTCATTCATCTTCTAACTGGAAGTTCATACCCTTCGATCACCTTTGCTCGTTTTCCCCACCCTCAAACCCATATCCTTTTATTTCTTCATCAGAATCTCCTTAACCTCAACCATTCAAGCCAAATCCAGAAAACAAACAACTGAATCATAGCTGAGCTTCCACTGAAAGAAAATGTGCCAGAGCAGCCGCCCCTCCATGAGAATGTGTCCTGTGGTCAAGTTCTGGTTCTGTTAACCTGGCAGGTGTCACCACACACGGGATACCGGAAAGGGCACATGATGTGGGGTGACACAGTCACCAGATAGGGACAGGAAGATCTTCCAACAGAGTCTGAGGATGGAGTGTAAGACCTGCCCCTCAACAGTGCTGGCATCAACCAGGCACTCGGCGGTATCAATGCCCCTTCCCTTCTTTGGTGAGAGTGTGAGTGGTCCTGGTCAGGGTGGAGTCTGCAATCAAGCCATCCACGGGCAGTGAGACCCATGAGAACCAGCACTTCTGGGTAAAGGAAGCCATCTGCAGAGCGGCCGCACCCTCCAAGCTGGTAAAGGTGTTGGTGAGGTAATTTGGGAAGTCCCAGGTCCGAGCAAGGTGCTGGGCGGCTCCTCAGAGAGAAACTGTGCCTCATTAAAGATGAGCCTTCTGCCCCCAGCTCTAATTCTGGAACCAGGGTGTGTGCTTGGCAGTGGAAGCCAGCTAATGAAGGCTGCGGCTCAGCCAAGTGTATGGTTGCCTAGCATTCTGACGTGACAATGAGGTCTGCTCGCAGGATACAAAAGGGTGATCAGAGGGGAGAAACTTGTCAGTGTTGGTCCAGCCTGCTGGGGAGATGCTGGAAAGGCATCCCTCTCCAGTGTAAATTAACCAGTGGGCTTCTGGTTTTTACATAAGCTGCTTGTGCGCAGGGTCAGTGTGGGTCAGCCCCTAGGTCTCAGTAGCTCTGGATCCTTAGGAAAGCCTGAATGTGTGATCTGCTCTGTTGACATGTGCGTGACATCTCTTCATAAACCAGCACTGCTCCCTCCAACCTCATTCACAACCGTGAATGGGAGATGCGGCTTTGGAGATCCTACCTGTGTTCCCTGAGGGTGCCTTCTTACCTTTTAGAATCTCCTTGGTGAGGAGCGCCTGGGTGGCTCAGTTGGTTAAGCATCTGACTCTTAATTTCGGCTCAGATCGTGATCTCACACTTCATGAGATGGAACGCCAAGTTGGGCTCTGCAGTGTCAGTACAGAGCCTGCTTGGGACTCTCTCTCTCTTCCTCTCTCTCTGCCCGCCCCCGGTCTCTCTAAATACATAAATAAATTTAAAAAGAATCTCTTTGGTGAGGTGTTGAAGGAAAACTGTATGCCAGGCACTTTATTTGTGTGTTGGAACCCACCTGACCCTCTACATCCCTCCTGTGGATTAACTGTGGCCTCAATTTATCAGTGAGGAGGTTGAGATTCAGAGAGGGGGAGGAACCCCTCTTTGGCCACACATCTGATGAATGGTAGAGCTGGGATTCCAACCCAGGCTTGTTTGGGCCCAGATGTCCTCTTGGCTACAACACCATAGGGGTTCTTAGACGACATCTCACTCATGACACTGTAAGGCAGATTTGCCCTAAGAATATTTTTGATACTGGGAAACGTACCCCAAACATTCTGAACTTTTTTCAAACGTTACCTAAATATGATTGATAAAAGTAAAGGAGAGGAAGATGCTCCCGATGTAGGGTGCTTTGGGAGCTGGACTGCTAAAAGGTAGCTCGAGGCTATTGGGTGGGGTGGTGGGGCAAATACCATTCAGTCTATGGAGGAGATGGCTGAAAAGACAAGGAAGACAAACTATGTAACTCACATTTTATGTTTATTTTTTTTTCAATATATGAAGTTTATTGTCAAATTGGTTTCCATACAATACCCAGTGCTCATCCCAAAAGGTGCCCTCCTCGGTACCCATCACCCACCCTCCCCTCCCTCCCACCCCCCATCAACCCTCAGTTTGTTCTCAGTTTTTAAGAGTCTCTTATGCTTTGGCTGTCTTCCACTCTAACCTTTTTTTTTTCTTCCCCTCCCCCATGGGTTTCTGTTAAGTTTCTCAGGATCCACATAAGAGTGAAACCATATGGTATGTCTTTCTCTGTATGGCTTATTGTGGTTTATATACACAATGGAGTACTACGTGGCAATGTAACTCACATTTAAAAATTTTTACTGATTCCTGCTCCCACTTCCTGGGGCTCCCTTCATGCCTTGTCTATCAGGAGTACTTTTCTTCATTCTTCCCGCCCCAGACAGAATGTTACCTCCTCCAGGAAGCCTTTCTTGACTTCCCCAGCAGAGCTAGTCTCTCCCCCTGTTCCTCTCCTAGTATCCACTCAAGAGGGCTTTCCTTTCTGAAGCCATATTGGCTAGATGCAAACCCTAACCGCAAGGCTTTGGGCAACCCACTACATCTCTCTCTTCCTCAGTTTTCCTTGTCTGAATAATGAGAATAATAGTAGCACCTACCGCCCTGGGTTGGTCGTGGACTTTAAGTGACAGAAGGAATACACACTGTTTAGCACAGGGCTGGGCACATACCGAGAACTCATTAGTGTCGTCTATTATTTATAATGCTGGGCATTGGCAGGATACGGAATATGCTGGAAGGATATTCCAGGCCCTCTCAAGCCAAGACTTGGTACCTGTCTTTCTAACTCCCCAGAGACCCAATCCCATGCACCACGCCTCTCCCAGCTCTGCAGCAAATAATGTCCTGCCTGTCTGACTGCTTCCTGCTCCAGAACAACAATCCTGAATCACACCTGTGTTGGGAGGCGGGCGGATGAGGAGTCCTGCCCCTCCTGGCTCAAGGCAAATCAGCCCTGTTTAGAACCCGACTCACCTGTTTCTCCTAATCTGGCCTACTTGCTGGTGACTCTGTTCAGGTGGATCTGGAAAAGGCGGCCAGCAGAGTCCAGTGGGATCCGCACTGAATGAGACAAGGTGGGGACACAAGGAACATCACGGCACTGCGAGCAGACGTTGTCTCCCGGCGCCCTATGTGCCAGTGCTTGACAGACACCTTGCTCACACTTCCCTGTCCCTTCCCAGTCCCGGCCTGAGGACAGACTCAGGAGGTGGATGATCCAGCCGCCTTCCTTTGACAGGGAAGAGCCTGTATGGCCTCATCACGTGGCCACATCGGACCACTGGGCACCTTAAATGAGGTATGCTGCAGTGTGGAACCAAGAGGGAAAATTTTCTCCTTGCTCACTGTTATATTCATTTCAGATTCAAATGATAACGTCTGGACCTCATTGGGTGAAGCAAAATATTAACACTAATTTTATCGGTTTCTTTTTACTTTTTAAACATGGCCATTAGAAAATTTAAACTGCCATGTGTGAGTGGGGTTGTGTCTGCGGAGAAGCACTGGATTAGGCGATTGCCCTAAACCAGAGCCGAGATGCAGAGCCAGGCGGAAGGTGTGCGCAGCCTTGCCTTTCACTCTTGCAACCAAACTTCTCCGCTGACACTAAACTCGTCCCCACACGCGATGGGGACCAAACACAAATATACCTGGGCGGGGGGCGGCTCCTGGGGACACCAAACACGTTCCCTTCTTTCTTCAAGTGGGTGCAACGTTGTGTGCGCGTGCACACGCGTGCACTGGGCGTGGGGCTGTTTCGCGGAGAAAGGAACTAAATGCTACGCGCAGGCAGTGTCTGCGTGTCCCGGGCCCCCCACCGTGCAAAAGGCAGAGGTGGAACTGAAGCCCAGGTCTGTCTGACTCCAAAGACTGGCCTCTTCCCCGCTGTAAAATCCTAATCTGAAAGCCTCCCTCCAGTCTTGTTTTTTTTTTTTTCTCTTGCAACAAACTACCTCTGATATGTGTATGGGTTTTTCTTAACAGAAAGTTTAAGATATTTATGTTTTGCAGTTTCGATCAGTAGTAACTTCCTGAACCCCAGGCAGAAGCTGAAAGAAACAAAGCAAGAGTGCTGACCAGGGTATTACTGGCTTTCCAGCCCACCTCCCAATCATTAGCTGTCTTTTCTCTATTGTTTTATGCATGTGCACATAAGTTTATTCTTTTAGTTCTTTTAAGTTTTTATTTTAATTCCAGTTAAAATACAGTGTAATATTAGTTTCAGGTGTACAATGTAGTAATTCAACACTTCCATACGTCACCTGTGCTGTCCTTAATCCCCATCACCTATTTCACCTCCCCCTCTCCCTCTGGTAACCATCTCTGTAATTAAGAGTCTGTTTCTCGGTTTGTCTCTATTTTTTTCTCTTTGCTTGCTTGTTTCTTAAATTCCATATATGAGTGTAATCATATGGCATTTGTCTTTCTCTGACTTATTTTGCTTAGCATTATATGCTTTAGCTCTATCCGTGTTGTTGCAAATGGCAAGATTCCGTGCTTTTTTAAGGCTGGGTAATATTTCACATATATGTATCTGTGTGTGTGTGTGTGTGTGTGTGTGTGTGTGTGTGTGTGTGTCTGTGTGCCCCACAACTTTTTTATACATTCATCAGTTGATGGACACTTGGGCTATTGTATCTTGGCTATTGTAAATAATGCTACTATAAACATAGGTAGGGGTACATGTATTCCTTTGAATTAGTGTTCCCGTATTCTTTGGGTAAATACCCAGTGTGTGATTGCTGAATCACAAGGTAGTTCTATTATTAAATTTTGGAGGAACCTCCATACTGTTTTCCACAGTGGCTGCACCAGTTTGCATTCCCAACAACAGTGCATGAGGGTTCCTTTTTCTCCACATCCTTGCCAACACCTGTTGATTCTTGTGTTGTTGATTTTAGCCATTCTGACAGGTTTGAGGTGATTTTGATTTGCATTACCCTGATGATGGGTGATGTTGAACATCTTGTCATGTGTCTTGTGACCACCTGTATATTTTCTTTGGAGAAATGTCTATTCATGTCTTCTGCCCATTTTTTAATTGGATTATTTGTTTTGGGAGTGTTGAGTTTTTTTTAAGTTCTTTGTATATTTTGGATACTAAGCCTTTATTGGATATGTCATTTGCAAATATATTCCCCCATTCTGTAAGTTGCCTTTTAGTTTTGTTGATTGTTTCCTTTGCTGTGCAGAAGCTTTTTATTTTGATGAAGTTTCAATAGTTTGTTTTTGCTTTTGTTTCCCTTGCCTCAGGAGACATATCTAAAAAGGAGCTGCTACAGCCGATGTCAAAGAGGTTACTGCCTGTGTTCTCTTCTAGGATTTTTATGGTTTCAAGTCTCACATTTAGTTCTTTAATCCACTTTGAATTTATTTTTGTGTATTGTATAAGAAAGTAGCCCAGTTTCATTCTTTTGCATGTAGCTGTCCAGTTTTCCCAACACCATTTGTTGAAGAGACTGTCCTTTCCCCATTGGTTATTCTTTCCTGCTTTGTTGAAGATTAATTGACCATATAATTGTGAGTTTATTTCTGGGTTTTCCATTCTGTTCCATTGATCTCTGTATATTTTATGCCAGTACCATACTATTTCAATTACTACAGTTTTGTACTATAACTTGAAGTCCAGAATTGTGATGCCTCCAGCTTTGCTTTTCTTTTTCAAGGTTGTTTTGGCTATTTAGGGTCTTTTGTGGTTCCATATGAATTTTAAGATTGTTTGTTATAGCTCTGTGAAGAACGCTTTTGGTATTTTGATTGGAATTGCATGAAATGGGTAGATTGCTTTGGGTGCTATAGCCATTTTAACAATATTTGTTCTTCCAACCCCCTGAGCATGAAATGTCTTTCCATTTTTCTGTGTCTTCTTCAATTTCTTTCATCAATGCTTATAGTTTTCAGAGTATAGGTCTTTCAGCTCTTTGGTTAGGTGTATTCCTAGGTATCTTCTTATTTTTGGTGCAATTGTAAATAAGATTGTTTTCTTAATTTCTCTTTCTACTGCTTCATTATTGGTATAGAAATGCAGCAGATTTCTGTACATTGATTTTGTATCCTGCAACTGTACTGAATTTAACAGTTCTAGAAGTTTTTTGGTTAAGTCTTTTGGGGTTTTCTACATAGAGTATCATGTCATCTGCAAATAGTGAAAGTTTTACCTCTTCCTTACTGATTTGGATTCCTTTTATTTCTTTTTGTTGTCTGATTGCTGTGGCTGGGACTTCCAGTATTATGTTGAATAAAAGCGGTGAGAGTAGACATCCTTGTCTTGTTCCTGACCTCAGGGAAAGAGTTCTTAGTTTTCCCCATTGAGGATGATGTTAGCTGTGGGTTTTTCGTATATCACCCTTATTTTGTTGAAGTATGTTCCCTCGAAACTTACTTTCTTGAGGGTTTTTTTTTTTTTTTTTCTTATCATGAATGGATGTTGTACTTTGTCAAATGCTTTTTCTGGATCTATTGAAATGATCATATGGTTCTTCTCCTTTCCCTTCTTCATGTGATGTATCATGTTGATTCATTTGGGAATACTGAACCACTTTTGCAACTTGGGGGAAAAAATCCCATTTGATTGTGATGAATGATTTTTTTTAAATATATTGTTGAATTTAGTTTGCTAACATTTTGTTGAGGATTTTTGCATCTATGTTCATCAGGGATATTGGCTGTAGTTCTCTTTTTTTTGGTAGTGTTTTTATCTGGTGTTTGGTATCAGGGTAATACTGGCCTCATAGGATGAATTTGGAAGATTTCCTTCCTTTTCTATTTTTTGGAATAGTTTGGGAATGGATTTTAACTCTTCCTTAAATATGTGGTAGAATTTGCCTGTGAAGTTGTCTGGTCCTAGACTTCTGTTTGCTGAGTTTTGGTTGTTGATTCAATTTCTTTGCTACTAATCAGTCTGTTCAAATTTTCTATTTCTTCCTATTTCACTTTTTGTAGATTATATGTTTCTAGGAACTTATCTATTTCTTCAAGGTTGTCAAATCTGTTGGCATACAACTCTTCATAATATTCTCTTATAATTGTTTGCATTTCTCTGATGTTGGTTGTTACTTCTCACTCTCATCTGTGATTTTATTTCTTTGGGTCCTTTCTCTTTTCTTTTTTATAAGCCTGGCTGGAGGTTTATCAATTTTATTAATTTTTTTCAAAGAACCAGCTCCCAGTTTCATTGATCTCTTCTATTGTTTTCTGAGGTTTTTTTTTTTTAAGTTTATTTAAAAAATTTTTTTAAATGTTTATTTTTAAGAGAGAGAGAGAGGAGGAGGACAGAGGATCTGAAGTGGGCTCTGTATTGACAGCAGAGAGCCTGATGTGGGGCTCAAACTCACAAACCATGAGATCAGGACCTGAGATGAAGTCTGATACTTAACCGACTGAGCCACCCAGGCACCCCGATTTGTTGTATTGTTTTTTTTCGTTTCCACATCATTTATTTCTGCCCTAATTCTTTATTACATATTCCCTTCCTTCTGCTGTCTTTAGGCTTTATTTGCTGTTCCTTTTCTACATCCTTTAGGTGTAAGTTTAGGTTTTTTATTTGAGATTTTTCTTGCTTCTTGATGTAAGCCTGTATTGCTGTATGCTTCCCTCTTAGGACCACTTTTGCTGCATCACAGCAAATGGTCCAAATGGTTTTGGACCATTGCATTTTCATTTGTTTCCATATACTTTTTATTTCTTCTTTTATTTCCTGGTTGACCCACTCATTGTTTAGTAGCATGTTCTTTAACCTCCATGTATTTGTGGTCTTTCCAGATTTTTTCTTGTGGTCGAATTGAAGTTTTATAGTGTTGTGGTCAGAAAATCCTTCTTGATTGTCTCCTTCTGTTTAGATGATCTGTCCATTGATGTAAGTGGGGTATTAAGGTCTTCTGCTATTATTGCATTGTTCTTGATTAGTTACTTTCTATTTGTTGTTAACTGTTTTATATATTTGGGTGCTCCCATGTTACATGCATAAATATTTACAATTATTATGTTTTCTTGTTGGGTTATCCCCTTTATTATTATTTAGTGTCCTTCTTTGTCTCTTTGTTTTAAAGTCTTTGTTTTAAAGTCTATTTTGTCTGATGTAAGTATTGCCACTCTGGCCTCCTTTTGACACCCATCTGCATGATAGATGTTTCTCCATCCCCTCACTTCGAATCTGCAGGTGTCTTTAGGTCTAAAATAAGTTTCTTGTAGGCAGCTTACAGATGGGTCTGTTTTGTTTTGTTTTTTTATATCCATTCTGTCACCCCATGTCTTTTGACTGGAGCATTTAATCCATTTATACTCAAAGTTATTATTGATAGATATGTATTTGTTGCCATTTTATTACTTGGTTGGTGGTTGTTTCTCTGATCCTTTCTTGTCTTTTTCTCATGTCTTGCTGATTTTCTCTAGTAATATATTTGGATTTCATTCTCTTTATTCTTTGCATGTTTACTAGTGGTTTTTGGTATACGGTTACCATTATTTTGTACATGACCTCTTCTGCAAATAGCAGTCTATATTCAATTGCTGGTCATTCAAGTTTGAACCCCTTCTCTCCTCCTCACGTCTTAGGTATATGTTGTTATAGTTTATATCCTTTTTCTTGTGTGAGTCTCTTGACTGTTTTTTTTTTTTTTGCAGGAATATTCATTTTTACTGCTTCCATGTTTCCTATGTTTATACTGTCATTTTTGGTTTCTCCTTTTTACTCAGAGTCCCCTTTAATATTTCTTGCAGGGATGGTTTAATGGTCATGAACTCCTTTAGTTTTAGTTTGGGAAACTCTTTGTCTCTCCTTCTATTCTGAATGATTACCTATCTCTTCTTAACCACAGTGTGTAACGAGTTTGCCTCCGTACAGATCCATATCCAGAGAGGTGGGCTTGAAATATGATGCAAGAACTATTGATGTACCATTCACTTCTTTTTTTTTTTTTCTTTGCTTAAATGCAGTATTTGTTTTAGAAAATTTAAATAAGGTTAAATAGAACACTTTCTAGCCACATCCCAAATTGCTTTAGGAATGTCACTGGTGCTTCATGTAGGTGATGTGATCTAACAAGAATGGTGAATATGGGAGGTCACAAGGGAAATCTGAACTCACTGAATACCATTGAGATCAAACCCTGGGTTCCATACCGGGAATAACTATCAGTGTAGCCCAGAACATCAGCTGGAGGGCAGGTGCTAGGGGAGAAGGGTGAAGATGACAGCCCACATATTCTGATTCAGGTGGACCCTGGACACAAACCAGAATTCATTCATGACGTCCTACAAGCCTTGACCCAAGTATTTATTATGGCTTCTTAGGAAAAGGTTAGGAAACAAGTTTGTTTACATGACCCATGACTGTGAGATTGCTCAGGAGTCCAAGGTTAGAAACGTTGGTAAATCCCAGGCAAAGTACTGACTCAGGGAAGTCCACACTTAGAATTCAAGGAGATAAAATGGGACACTGTGTTTCAAATCTGATTACCGGTTCAAAGTGTGATTACAAAGAGAGCACTATAAACAGCCCCGTCCCTGTAGCTCTACCCATACTGGGCCTTGTTCCCCCACAGAATGGGTCTGCTCTTACCGGTGGTGCTCTGTGCACTGGCTGCGTGCTGTGGGGCTACATCTCCACCCCTGCCGCCCGTCAGATTCTGGCCTCCCATCGCCCGTGGCTGCAATGATTCAGGTATTCTGGAATTGGCAGGCTTTGCCCTGCAGGACATCAACAGGGACCGAAAGGATGGCTACGTGCTGAGCCTCAACCGAGTGAGCGATGTCCGAGAACACAGACAGGCAAGTGACAGTCCCCTGTCCAGGGCATGTGCTTGCACAAGCTGAGGAGAACAACCAGGGAGGGGGGACCCAGGGACACATATTGCCAGGTACTTTCCGAATTGGAAGCCCTGCTAAGAACGCTCCCCTCTCCTCTGCCAGGGTATGCGCCACACCCCTATTGTTATTGTGCTAATAGTTATCGCACCCTGACCCTTCTCTACTGTCCCACGGGTTGTCAAAAATCTTCACAAACATCACAGACTTTGGCTGTACCATAACAGAGACTCTTTGGCCAGTCTTTAGGGGTTTCTGCTTCACGTGGGACACAATGCATTTCTCAACCCCCTCCAACAGGTTAACAGCCTGGGATCTCTGTTCTATTTCACACTGGACGTGTTAGAGACTGACTGCCACGTACTCAGCAGGAAGGCATGGAAGGACTGTGGGGTGAGGACCCTTCATGAATCGGTAAGTGCTCGTGTCCAGGAGCTCTGGAGAAGCTAGGTGTCCTCTGAGCTGAATGAAGATTGCTCACTATGTGCCACTCTTTAATGTTCTTCATTATAATCTCTTGGGCACAATGCCCATGTCGTTATTCCTGCGCTGTAGATCAAAGAGCATCTAATCGAAGCAGTTTCTGTGAGTCCCAGTGGAGCCATAGCCCCAGAATTGATGTTGCCATCAAATTGTTTCCTACCTCCAAGACCCTCCTGTAGTCTCTGAGCTAGTGTTCAAATTGTGAGAAAAAAGATCAGAGATACAGTGCTGTGGATGCGGATCTAAGGAAGACTGTAGAAGCAATGGAGGGAGAGCTTCTTTGTTGGTTTCATTTTGCTTTTGTTTCAGTGAACACTGATATGAGACATGGGGCTGGGGAGAGGGAGGGTTTACAGTATGAGAGCTCCCAGAGGTGCCATGGAAGGATTTCCTGGATTCCTAGAACCTAAAGGGCCTCAGAATCCATCCTTTCAAAGGCGACTGTTGAAGAGGCTTGAAAATAACATAGTCAGCTTTCTTTTGATTCTCGATTATCCTGAGGTTATTTCCATTAACCGATATGAAACTATATTTTGAGGGCAGGACTGTGTTTGGAAGTAAAGTACTTTTCTAATCATTTAACCAAATATGTCAAATTGCACCTATCTGATTTTGATGAGCAAAAAGTGTGTTTACCCTGTTATGAATTATATTTGTTAAGGTGACACTAGCTGCTGTGATACATGCCCTAAAATGGGTTACCTGGGTGGCTCAGTCGGTTAAGCACCTGACTTCAGCTCAGGTTACAATCTCACAGTTTGTGAGTTCGAGCCCCGCATTCGGGCTCTGTGCTGACCGCTCATAGCCTGGAGCCTGCTTCTGATTCTGTGTCTCCCTCTCTCTCTGCCCCTCTCCCACTCATGCTCTGTCTCTCTCTCAAAAAAAATGAATAAACGTTAAAAACACTTTTTATAATACATACCCTAAAAAGTATATACCGATTCCAACGTGATAGCGGTTTATTTCTCACTCATGTAAAGTTCAAAATAGAAATTCCTGATGAAGAGGACACCCAAGTTCCTTCCACATTGTGGCTCCAGACTCTGCCACCTTCAACTTGTGGTTTCTGTGACTGCCATGGTCATCTGGATAAGGCTATGGAAAGAGAGCATGGTGGGCAGGCCACGCATGGCAGAGCTTCATGGGCCACGTGGAAATTATTACAGCCACTTCTCACCTTCCTGTGGTTGCAACTCAATTATACACAGTCACACCCAAGCTGGAAGGAGGCTGGGAGATGGGGTCCAGCTGCGTCTCAGAAGAAGGTTAAACTGTTTGTTGATTTGCTGGTGATTTCTCACACTCAAAACTGCCAAAATTGATCTTTGTTTTTCATTATTGAAAAATAAAGCATCCAGTCTAATTCGGGGGCTATGTTTTTATTATTATTTATTTATATATATTTTATTTTACTTTTATCTTCAAGTTAGTTAACACACAGTGTGGTCTTGACTTCAGGAGTAGAACCCAGTGATTCATCTCTTACATATCACACCCAGTGGTCATCCCAAAAAGTGCCCTCCTTAATGTCTGTCACCCATTTAAGCCACCCACCGCCTCCAGCAACCCTCAGTTTGTTCTCTGTGTTTAAGAGTCTCTTACTGGGGCGCCTGGGTGGCTTGGTCGGTTAAGCGTCCGACTTCAGCTCAGGTCATGATCTCACGTCTGTGAGTTCGAGCCCCGCGTTGGGCTCTGTGCTGACAGCTCAGAGCCTGGAGCCCGTTTCAGATTCTGTGTCTCCCTCTCTCTCTACCCCTCCCCTGTTCATGCTGTGCCTCTCTCTGTCTCAAAAATAAATAAACGTTGAAAAAAAAAAAAGAGTCTTTTACTGTTTGCCTCCCTCTCTGTTTTGATCTTATTTTTCCTTCCCTTCTGGGGGATATTTTTAAAAGTCAGAGTTTTTCCTACGACGTCATAAAATGTGTTTGTCTGTTCCAGGTTTATGGTCAATGCAAAGCATTATTTTACGTTAACAGGCCAGGAAGAGTTCTCTATGTACTTGCTTACAACTGTACTCTTTGCCCAGGTAAGAGAGCCCTCTGAATTTGTTCATTTTAATAAAATATGGAAAAAGAGCATGAAATAGGGCTATGCCTAGAGTATACAGGGTTCTCCCACCCTTACTTCCTATTCATACCAAGGCCACATTCTTCTATCCAGTATTTGCCTCTCCTGTGAAGTCCAACTTGCACTGCTCCTCTTCCCACGATGAATCTTCTTAAATCCCTGCAATCACTTATTAGTGAGGACTGCATTAAACCCTGAATTTTCAGTCTGATGTAAACGACATAATCTCTATGCAGGTCCCCAGGCTCCCTCTCTAGCTCTCTCTGCTATTATTTCCCTGACCACACCCACTCTGCACTTCTTGTAGCTGGATCCTTCACTATTTTCTGAACACACATTGCACTCTCCAATCTCCACATCTGCCTGTCCCTCCTCCTCCGCGGAGGATGCCCTTGCCTGATACCTTCTGCCCTTAGAACTTACACCCATTCTTTGCAGACCCCCGCCAATGCCACTTATTCTACCATGTTCTCTACTCAAGAAAAGAAAGCTTCTCTCCTGTTCTCATTCCTATAAAACTTGAGCCTGAGCGCTCCTGGAACACAACATACTGCCTTGATTTGAGTCTCCTATCTTACATCACATAGAACAGGTATTCCTTCTTCCTTCCTGCCAAAGCCCTCCCTGGGTTCCTATCAGGTGTAAGGAGTCCATAGTATTGTTGAATAAATGAACTGAGAATGGGGCTGAAACTAATGACATTTCAAATACGCATATGCATTTATTCTGGATCCTTCTTTGGAAAGCAAGCATCCAAGGTATGGGAAAATAGGATATGGCTACTTGTCAAACCACTATGCGCCTGTGACTCCCCGGGTGGGTCTTGTTCAAGTGCAGATTCAGATTCTATAGATCTGGGGTATGGCCTGAAAGTCTGCATTTCTAACAAGCTCTAGGAGATAACAATGTTGCTGGTTCCTTTGGAAGATAAGACAACAGAGCAAATAGTTTCTTAGCCACGGTTTAAGCTTCCTGGTTGTGAAGATGAGTCTTCTGTAAATAAGAGAACAGCTAACAAGGCAGATGGGAACTGAAAATGGAAGTCATAGGTGCCAGAGGTATGGGAGGTCAGGAAGTGACACATGGGGGTGGTGCCAGGAGCGACAAGCTGAGGAAACCGCCTCACAATATGCCCAGATGCATGCAAATGAACACGCAATTGATCAAAACAATGCGTTTGCTCTACAAAAATAACTCCCAGAAAAGTTCTCTTACCTGACATTCATTCATATGAGTTTTGCCACCTCCAGGTCCTCCCAATCAGAAATTCTGGCTACACCTTTAGCCTGATTATTCTATCCAGTCCACACAGTGATTTGATCAATATTTGTTTCTGGCTCATTTGTATTTTTTAAAAACTTTTTAATGTTCTTATTTATTTTTGAGAGAGACAGACAGAGCATGAGTGGGGAAGAGGCAGAGAGAGAGAGAGAGAGGGAGACACAGAATCCAAAGCAGATCCCAGGCTCTGAGCTGTTAGCACAGACCCCGACATGGGGCTTGAACTCACAGACTGTGAGACCATGACCTGAGCTGAAGCCAGAGGCTTAACTGACTGAGCCACCCAGACTCCCCATCACTTGTATTTTCTCATCTGGGAGGGTGTGCTTCCACCTTCCATATGTCATTCACTCATCCATTCATTCAACAAGCATTTGGTAATAAACACTTACAATGCAGTAGACCTTGTGTTGGGTGTTGGGGACTTAAAGGTGGATTAGACGTGACAGTGATGAAATCCCAACATTTTAAGACACTCAGTCTGCCTGACAGAGGCAACGATGGTGGAAGATACTAAACTAACTGGGAAAAAGGTTTTACATCAAAATAAACACATATATTATGTATTTTTGAACAAAATTCCTAGGGTAAAAACCTTTGTGTGAGGTGAAAAAAAATCTTGCTTTAATTTTTTGTGAATAATGAAAGTAATACACACTCATGGCAGAAAACCCACAGTTGACAGCTTTCTTTCCAGATAATGCCTTTTCTAGTCCATCCTTGTCAAAACGATTATCTTTGTGTTTTTTTTTTTTTTCAATCCCTGCCTCTTGCGGTCGTACCATTTGTGGGATTAAAAGTCACTAAGAAATTTTATTTTTCAACTTCTCTCTTTGGCATCAACAGTTTCTCGAAGAAGTATTCACATGATGTGCCCTGACTGCCCCAGCCCCTTTAAGTTGTCAAATCCCAAGGTTCTGGAAACTGCTGCCGAGTCCCTTGCAAAATACAACAAGGAGAGCGCGTCCAAGCAATACTCTCTCTTCCAAGTCACGAGGGCTTCTGGCCAGGTGAGGTTGAAGAGCTGTTATGCCAGCAATGTGTCTCATAACACTTGCTGTCCATGCTTAAGCTGAGACGTGGATATCAAGGCACTCCTTTTAGTTCGCACTGGAAAGCCTTTTCTTCATTCTCTACCTCAGTAGGCCTGATGCACAATTCAATCATGTGTCAGTTTCTGAAACTGCCATGGGATTTCCACCAGAGTCGTGGGACTGCATGTCACCTCATTCGCCTTAAGGCTAGAAGGGAAATGGACTCCTAGTCTCCTTGGCAATTCTACCTAGGCTCACTATTGGCTGCTACGTGCGCATATTTGATTGACCACGGACCGTTTAGCAAGTCAGTTTGTGCTGCATCTTAAGGCCCCGAGTGGATTATGAGCTTCACAGAGTAGGGAAAATGGCGGCTCATTTGTATTTGGATCATGTTGAATGAATTATATAGACAAAAAACTAAAAACAAATCTCCAGTGAGGAAAAATAAGCTCACCTAAGGGAAGGTTCTTAGAGCCCTTTCAAATCCTTAAGAAGGGAAGAAAGGTATGTCATGTTTTTTAAGGAACAAAATCGCAGTACTTGCTTTGATCTTGATGGGGATACAGGGTCAGCAGGAGACCTGTGTTGACAATGACGCTGAGGATGTACAGTTCCCATAAATAAAATGCTGCCAAACCCAAACCATTTCTCCATGTGGTAAGATTTGATTTTTATTTCCCAACTCTTGTCTCATACCAGTGGGTGTTTGGCTTTGCTTTCTTTGTGGAGTACTTAATCAAAGAGTCACCGTGTACCAAACACCAGGCCAGCAGCTGTGCACTTCAGCCCCCTGACTCTGTGGTAAGTATTCCTGAACATCTTCAGAAATGATTTAGGATTTGCATTCACAAGTCATCTCTATATGTACTTATTGAGCATAAATTATTGCATGAGGTGTTACAATGCATAAGATGCTTTTCTTCCCCTCAAGGAACAATTGATAATGCTGTTTAATTCTTCTTCTATGTTGCTGAATTCAGTTTACCAGTGTTTCTTACAGGATTGTCCTTTTATAATCATAAGAGACATTAATTTATAGTTTTCTTGTATTGTCTTTGCCTGATTTCCTAAGAGTTTAATATTGGCTTCATAGAATGAGTTGGGCAATTTCCTTCCTCTTTGATTTTATTTTGGAACAGTTTGTGAAGGATTGGTGTTCATTCTTCTTTAAACGTTCATTAGAATTCACCAGTGAAGCCATCTGGGCCTGAGCTTTTCTCTGTGAGAACTTCTTGTTTTTGTTTGATTAATAACTCAGTCTCTTTACTTGTTATAGGTCTATTCAGATTTTCTGTTTCTTCTTGAGTAAGTTTTGGTAGTCTGTGTCTTCCTAGGAATTTGTACATTTCCTCTATGTTACCTACTTTCTCAGCATACAGGAAGATGTTCATAGTATTTGCTTCTTATTTTTGAAATATTAGATTTAATATCCCCTATTTAATCCCAATTTTAGTAATTTGAGTCATTTTTTTTCTTGGTCAGTCTAGCTAGTTTTGTCAATTTCGTTTATCTTTTCAAAGAATCAACTTTCAGTTTTTTGGTTTTTTTTTTTTTAATCATCTAGTTCATTTATTTCCTTCCTGCTCTTTATTATGGCCTTCTTATTGCTTACTTTGGGATTAGTTCTTTTTTTTTTTTTTTTCTAGTTTCTTAAGATGGAAAGTTATGTAAATGGGTTGCTATCAATTTTTTTCTTAAAAAATTTTTTTTTCATGTTTATTCATTTTTGAGAGAGAGAGAGAGAGAACATGAACAGGGGAGGGGCAGAGAGAGAGGGAGACACAGAATTGGAAGCAGGTTCCAGACTCTGAGCTGTTGGCACAGAACCCGACGTGGGGCTTGAACCCACAAACCATGAGATCATGACCTAAGCAGAAGTCGGATGCCTAACTGAACCAACCAGGTGCCCCTCATTTTTTTCTTTTTTAAAAATAACATTTACATCTGCAAATTTTCTTCTACGCGGTGTTTTAGCTGCATATGTTTTGTTTTGGTTTCCATTCATCTTAAAGTATTTTCTAATTTTCTTTGTGATCTCTTCTTTGACCAATTGGTTATATAGGAGTATGTTATCTAATATTTGCAAAACTCCTCAGTTTTTTTCTGTTATCTACTTCTAATTTTATTCCATTGTATTTTGAGAATATACTTGATTTGATTTCAATTCTTTTAAGCTTATCGAAGTTTGTTTTATAATTTAACATAAGGTATATCCTGGAAAATGTTCCTTGCACACTTGAGGAGAGTGTATACTTTGTGCTTGTTATCAGGTGGAGCATTCTGTAATGGTTGGTTTATAGTGTTTTTCAAGTCTTCTATTTCCTCGTTGATGGTCTGCATAGTTGTTCTATCCATTATTGAAAGTGAGGTTTCCAGGCATTATTGTTGACTTGTCTTTATCTCCCTCAAATTCTGTCAGTTTTTGCTTATGTTCTTTGGGGCTTTGTTGTTAGGTACATAAATATTTATAGTTGTTGTGTCTTCCTAATAAATTGAACTTTTTAGCATTATAAAGTGTTTTTCTTTGTCTCTACTAACAATTTTTGTCTTAAAATCAATTTTGTCTGATATTTGTATAGCCATCCCAGCTCTCTTTTGGTTATTGTTTGCATTATTTTTATTTTTTTCCATCTTTTAACTTTCAACCTATGTGTGTCTTTGAATCTAAAGTGTATGTCTCAAAAGCCTCGTGTAATCAGCCAGGTGAATTTTCTCAAGGAATAATTGGGAAAACATCTTCATCCTATTCTGTAGGGTCTGTCTTTCTCACTTGTCAATAACATCTGGGGCAGATTGCATAATTTTCTGTTCATTTTCTGTAATAAGAACACTTTCACTTAGGTAATTGAGATTCACTCTGGGGTATGAATAAAATCTGTTCAATCAGTTCTGAACTAAAACTTCTATCTTCTACCCAACGCAAAGCTTTTTTTCTCTCTCTGTAGCTTCAGCCTGACTTAGAGCTTAGGACCTGATGTGAGAAAGGGGTCAGGTCTATTCTCTCAACTTTTCTTCCCCTTTTATAATCTTTTGTTTAATTCTGGCTCATCCAAGTTCCAAGAAGAATGAGAGACAATAAGAGAAAAAAGTACAAAGTCTTTTTTATATAGCTGAAGTTGTAGTTTTCTCTTGATCTCCATAAAGCAAGTTCCAGACCTGCTTCTCAGGCGATACAGGTGTGGGTTTGTACAGAGGTCCTTTCTTGGCAGGATGATGGATTCTCTAGCTGACCCCTTGGAACCACCCCTTCTCAGATTCAGCCCCCGGCAGGTTTTTACTATTAAATGCCCCTTCTCTGGAAGATTGTCCCTTGAGTAGGTACTTTCAAAAGAGCCCTACCTATGGCATTTGCTTAGCCCATGGAACCCTCACACATTTTTACTGTTCCAAACAGTGTGAATATCCTTCTCTTTTCTCTCTGTCTCCTTACCCTACCATAGTAGGATCTTGCTTTAGCCAAGATCCTGCCTTCAGAATGCTCTGAGAGAGAAGCAGATACCAATATTCATAGCCAATATGCCCCCAAACTCTAGGGTTCACAGGTTAAGCATGCCCACAAACTCCCTCCTAGTGGTCCACTCTAGTTAGAGCACCAGATAGGCCTATGAATTAGAGTAACTCAGCAAATCTTAGAGTGGGAGTGGCCAGGCTCTGCTTGGTACAGGTAACTGCAGTCTCTCCAGAAGGTTCTCATAGAGCCCATCCCCTATATGATTTGGTGATGAATTGGAGAAGGAAGAAGCCAAAGTACCATTCTCTGAGGACTTCCTACATTAATAAATTTTCCCATCTTAAGGAATTTCAAATCGTCTCTTTGCGTATTCTGGAAATGAGTGATAGAGCAATATTCAGGCAAGCCATTTAGACACATTTTAGTGAATTCCATGTGAATATTCTTAAAAGTTCTTTAGAAATCGAGGCAACATTTTGTTAAAATATTCTATTTGTGCTCGAATATATGTACACTGTATGACTCTAAAATTCCTCTTCTAGGAATTTACCCAAAGGGAGTAACTAAGAATTTGTTAAGTAATGCAGAGGAATATTAGGTAGCGATTATAAAGAAAATCACAGAAGACTATTCAGTGCCATGAAAGGATTTTCACAATATATTATTAAATGACAACAGAAAGTTAGAAAATAAAATACATAACATAATCCTGTTTATCTAGAAGAAAATATGTATACAGAGGAAAAGAGGTCAGAAGAAACCAAATCATTGTAGGAAACAGTTAACTTCCATGCAGTCACAGGTCCTTTAATTTTCTTTTTGTTTATCCATATTCTAAATAACTATTATTACGTTTATATTAAGGAAATGAAATTATTTTATTTCTAAATTTTAAAAAAGTCAAAGGAACTGAGAGGAAGTTTGTGTGAGAAGAGAAAACTCGGGTGGAACATACATAAAAGGCTACCATTACGTGAGAGATGAAAACAGGTTTTCAAAATGACCCAAGGGTAGAAGTAAGGCCAAGAGGTAGATGTTCTATAGACACAGATTTCTGCTCAATACACAGAATTTTCTAATTGGGTTTGTTCCTCAAGAAATCCTTAGTTTCACATCACTGGAGGCGATTTAGCCTAGTTTGGGTGATTATTGGTAAAAATGATCTAGTGAGAACTGGCTCAGAGTCTGCCCATAACATGATAAGAACATGAAACTGTTGATTGCCTGTGTGTCTACACAAGCAGAAAGCTAATGGATTTCCATTTATAGTCATTGATAATCATAATACTCACAGGACATTGTGTTTTCTCTGTCTTTAGCCTGTTGGTCTTTGCAAAGGTACACTGACTGAAAGAGAATTACAAAAGTTTGTCTCCGTGACTTGTGACTTCTTTGAACCACAGGTATTTTTCAGTCTAATTGTTTGTCTTCCTGTGAAGAGAGCAGATCATCTAAATCCTATGGGCCCCTACCCCACCCTCTCCTTTTCATTTCCTAAAATCTGTGATCACCACTGCATTCAGGCTGCCCCAAGGCCACACCCTGAGGGTGGCTAAAGACCTATCACACTATTTTTTTTATCACAACGAGGTCCTATACAATAAGTAAGACTCCTTCAGAAACAGGAACATCCCAGCTCAGATGGCTCAGGCTTCTGAACACTGAAATCCAGTGGATTTCTGACACTGAAATCCAGTGTCCTGAAGAGCCTTACCCTAAACTGCAGGTAGAAGTTGTTTCACTGGAAATATCCAGTCCCTTTCCAAAAGTATTTATTGAGTGTTTACTATAAGGCAGCCAGCTGTAGTTGAGAGGATGATGGACACAGGACACCTGGTCCCTGTCCTTTCTGCCACCTGCGAGCTGTGTGACCCTGGGCAAGTTCTTACCTGTCTGAGTCTTGGTTGCCTTGTGTGTAGAATGGGGTTGCAACACCCACCTCATTCAGATCCCTGTGGGAAACCCTAAGAGGAATTGGAGGAACGACCCTGTACCTGGCCTGGCAATGAATAAGCAATCAATAAGATGGCTGGGGCTGTACTTACTACTGAGAGCAGAGTGATGGCTCACCAGGGACTTGGAAGAGACCATTTAACCTCCCTGAACCACTGTTCAGCTCTGAATTTGTGAGGCTTGCAGTCAAGCTTCTGTTGTCTGGTTTTGCTTTTTAATCCTGAAGTTCATCCCTCTAGCTGGTCTCCCTTTGTTTTTGTTTTTCTTAATTTTGTATTTTATTTTAGAGAGCTGTGGGGAGTAGGTGAGGGAGGGGCCAAGGGAGAGAGAGAGACAGAGACAGAAAAAGAATTTCAAGCAGCCTCCACTCTCAGCACTGAGCCCAATGCAGGGCTGATTCCATGACCCTGGGATCACGACCTGAGCCGAAATCAAGAGTTTGACACTCAACCAACTGAGCCACCCAGGCACCCCTAGCCAGTATCTCTTTGAAACGTTCCATCAGAAAGTCCCAGAACAGCTTAGTTCCGTACCAGGTATGGCGGGAGGTTTTCCAGGGAATGTTCCCTTATTTGAAAATGTTCTTATTTCAGGTTCCCGCCCCTGGAGGGGAAAACCCTGCAGCTAACCAGGGACCTGCGGACCTCCCCACAGTGGAAGAGTCCCAGCAGAAAATCATAGCCCCTACTAACTCGCCCTCCAAAGCCGTGCCTAAAGGATCTGTCCAGTACCTCCCCGACTTGGATGATGAGAAGAAGCCTGAGGATGCTCAGGAAAACAGCCCTGTTGAGTCCTTCCCTGTGCAGTTGGAGCTCACCACAGATCCCCTGGGAGAAAGTCTGGATGTTTCCTTCCTCTTCTTGGACCCTGAGGAGAAGAAGGTGGTTGTCCTGCCATTCCCCAAGAAGGAACAACGCTCTGCTGAGTGCCCAGGACCAGCCCAGCAGGCCAACCCTCTTGTTCTCCCACCTTGAGAACCACGTAGAGTTCTCATGCCTCAGGTGAAGGCATGGTCCCCTGTAGGAGAAGTCAAATGTACAGAGTGACTCATAAAGTATATCTTTTTGACTTCTCGGTTTCATAATGTTATCTGGAAGTGGGAATTATGAGGCTACACTCTCTACTTGTACACTGGGCTGCATCCCTTCTGAACCACCCAAGGCCTCATATCATGTTCAGATGCCACTGTGCCTCTCATGTCTTCAGCCTCTCCTTCTGCAATCTTACTCACTTTTACCTAAATCTCTGATACAGGGCCTGCTATACTTAGGTGTGCCCTCTTCCATCTGGGCAAGAGCACACTGATTCTTTTGATCAAAATGAGATAAAAATTGAAGGGTATCAAGAAACTGGGATTCATCAGAGTTTCATTCTCCCTTTATTCCATAATTATTTCAGCAGCAAGTATTGGTCAGATATTGTCTGCACAGCCTTCGGCCTGAGGGTGGAATCTGGTTTCTTTCTTACCTGTTTGAATAGTCTCCGCTCCCCAGAACTTGATAGACTCACTTACCTTCACTGTTGGAATACAGAGTCTGTGGCCTATGGCTGAGCCTGGAGGGAAGCAAACACTGCTCCAAAGATGGGAAGCTTTCTGATTCCATTAATAGTTTTGCTCAGAGTGGAAATCAAGGGCCCAACAACATTCATTCTCAATTTTTTCACTTAAAAAATAATACATGTAGGGTAGGGGTGCCTGGGTGGTTCAGTCGGTTAAGCATCCAACTTTTGACTTCAGCTCAGGTCATGATCTCACAGTTGATGAGATCGAGTCTTGCATCAGTTTCTGCACCGACAGCACCAAGCCTGCTTGGGATTCTCTCTCTCCCTCTCTGTCTGCCCCTCCCCAGCTCATTCTCTCTCTCTCAAAATAAATAAACTTAAAAATATGTATATAAAATATACACATATATGTATATTATGTGTGTATATACGTTTACACAAATACATGTAACACCTGCATATACATATACACACATATCTTTTGAAGTTTGACAGGCGTTATGGGTTGAATTGTTTCCCCAGTATTCATATACTGAAGTCCTAACCCCCAGTACCTCAGAACGTGATTATATTTGGATACAGATCTTTAAAAAGGTAACTTTGTTAAAATGAAATCATTAGGGCGGGCCCCAGTCCAACATGACAGGTATCCTTGTAGGAAGAGATCAGGACACAGACGAGCATACAAGCAAGACCATGTGGGGACACAGAGAAAACGTGGCCAAGGAGAGCTAGGCCTCAGAAGAGACTAACCTTGACCTTGGACTTCTAGGCTCCAGGATTGTGAGAAGATCAATTTCTGTCATTTAAACCACTCAGTTTACGGTACTTTTTTATGGAAGCTCTCGCAAAGCTAACACAACAGAGAATTTGCAGAGTAACAGTTGTCTTCCATCCCGGCAGGCGTTTCTTGGAGAGTCACCTCTGTGCCTTGACAGCATTTGTTTAAGAGCAGTAGACAATATTCACATGCTGTTACTCTTAGCTGCATCCTTTAGGAAGGAAAAACGATGAAGGAGAGGCATCATTTGGAGTCTTAGACCCTGTCTCAATCAGGGTCTAGCAAGAAATACAATGTATCGCTAGCACTGGCTAACTCTTTAAGGTTCAGTGAAGGTGGGGGGAAAGGATGTCCACTGCTTTCGTGAGCATGCCTTAATCTCAGCAAAACTACTGTAGGAAAAGCTTATCCTCATTGTGGGGGCCTTTCCACGTCCTGCCTTTCCCTCCACCAGCATTTAGCTCCCTGAGGGCACTCCATACTGGGGGTGGCCAGTACAGCAAGAGTAGAAGCCTTAATGAAGGAGCTCGGCTCATTGAAACATACGTTTTTGTGTTCATCGATAGACTTCCCCCAGCCCCACCGCAGGTTAGAGCCCCTTAGTAACACGTTGGCCAGCTTCCAGACTATTTCTGTCATTCTACATTTCATTGAAGAGGTCCTGTTTCGGTATTCAAAAGCTAGGGTCGCTAACTTTAAAAGTTCAATGTCAAGCGTAACTCACAACGTGTTTTTAGTACCTTGCTGAACCAACCTGGGACTCTGGGAAGTGAGGCCTTGCTTTTCACATACCCTCTCCCTTCCCTCTCTCTCTCTCTTTCAACTCTTTCTCTCTATTCAGGATCTGTTTAGAGCCCAGTGGTTCTCAACCGTGAATGCACATTGGAATCACCTGGAAGTTTTCAAAGCACCAGTACCTGGGTCCGTTCCAAGAGATCCTGATTTAATTGCTCCGGGGAGAGGCCTGAACACAAGGATTTTTAAAAGCCCCTCAGGTGATTCTAGTATGAGAACTATTACTATGGCCTTTATGGACATTCCCTGCAGAGGGAGCAGAGAGTGGGGAGCTTCTGTTTAAGGGACTAGTCTCAGGAGGGAACCTCGGCTAAGTCCCTCTGGTCCTTTCTGATGTTGGTCAGCTGCTGGTAAGAAGAGTGCATACGGCTACATTGTTTCTCTGGAGGGTTGGGGGCGCGATATCAGCTTAAGGCCAGTCTGAGTCCCTCCCAGGTATAGCCCACCCAACCCCTTCTCAGAGATGGGCATCCAATTGCTTGACTGCTACCCTCACGACCATTCTCTTCCACATGAACCCGTTCTCTTTAGCACGCTTAGGGGGCCACTGAGAACCGTGAATGACAAGTTGGGGCGTCCCCAACTTCTTCTCAGACACACCAGTGGTAATAATAACAAGACTACGTAACATCAAGCATTCAGTACCTGAATCTGTGCCAAGACTTGTCGTGGTTCCTTTATCTGTGTTTTCTATTTAAGTATCACACGATCCAGCCAAAAGGGATGAATCCCCATTTCGTAAATGAGAAAATTAAGAATCAGAGAGGTTTTATAGCTTACCCAGCATCACACACTAAGAGTAACAGGGCAGGTTTGAACTTCAGATCTGACTCCAAAGTAACAGCTGTTTAATCCTTCCATCTTATTGAGAATTCAGTTCCTTTTATGGTATTAGGAGTTTAACGTGTTACCTCCCTTAAATAATGCAGCTGCATTCTACTGAGGACGTTGGGGACATAATCCGAACAGGGGAGCGATAGGGAGATTTCTGGCGGCGATCGGCAGGCAGAGGAAGGAAACCTGCTTTACTTCCAATCCCACCCACACACCAAGGTAAACAGTGCCTATGCACCAAAACACACTCTGCCTCCATCACTACTAGAAAAATCCAGATTTTGTGCAGATCACAAGTCCACCCGCCCACCAGTGGCGTGTCTCGACTTTCTGTCCCCAGGACCCACTAATCATTTACAGCCTGTTGGCAGGTATTTTAACCAGGGGTCAAGGTGACTCTCCCCGGTTACACAACAGAAATACATAAACACTTTGTTTAATCAATTGTGTGTGCATGTGTGTGTATCTTCAGAAAGTCTGTATAAAATTCTCTGCTGGGACATACTGTAGCAAGGGATGGTTTCCACGTTTTAACAAGATGAGAGCCTTCACCGCAGCCCTGCTTCTCATCCCCTTCTTCACGCTGCAGAACTCCTGCGCCCTGCGTCCCACAGACTGCGACGCTACTGAGCCCTTGGCCAGGAAAGTGCTAGACCTGATCAATAAAGGACGGTGGAAAGGCTACCTTTTCCAGTTGCTGCGGGTCGCTGATGCCCATGTGGACAAAGTGGTGAGGAACTGCCTGTGGTAGAGCTGAGTTGGGAGACCAGGCCCCAGGGGGCAAATGTGCTGTCGGGCCCCACGCTTGCTGCCTTGCACAATGAAATGGCTCTGGGTAGGGTTTCTGGTTTCGTTTCTGCTGCTCCTCTACACTGTTGGGGTTTTGGGGGGGGGAGGGGTGCCTTCAAACTAACATTTGCTATTAATATCTCCTTAATTATGAATCAGTCTGTAGGTACTTATAAGCATGTATGCTGAGCCAACTCAAACAGTAAGTACCAGGAGAGGCGAATTAGAATAAGGTGTCGGCAGGACCCTCAAGGAAATAATCATCAGCTCACGTACACACACAGGCAAACTGTGTTAAGACGGGACACATTTTAGCAATCAAGTGGTATAGACGCAGAAGTAACCTAATGGAAGGAGAGCTTTTAAAATTGGTTGGGAGAAGGATGTAGACAGGGAATGAGGAAGGAGAGTGTCAGGGAATAATTGAATGCAGCGGGAATGGAGTGTTCTGGAAGTTTTTTGTGGGCTTTGGAGCAGTTAGCAGGTCGGAAGACTGACTGTAGGCTTATCGTGAAGCAAAGAGAGCCTACTGTTTTCGCTTAATAAGATTATATGCTTGTTTGGAGTGGATCTGAGGCCTTGAAAGAGATTAACGGAAGGAGGGCTCTCTCCCCCCCCCCCCCCCCCACCCCCCCCCACCCCCAAAAAACCTACCCTTTGGTGAAACCACTGAAATCTAGGAGGACAGACTATGGGGCCCCACAGAAGCAGAGAAATTTCCACTTGTTGCTGGTATGAGAGGCACCACAGGTTGCAGAGAACAAGAGGGGTTTCAGGAATTTAGGGTCCAACCGGCAATTTAGTGACCGTGAGTCCCGTTCCAGGCTCTCTGTGACACACGCAGGCACAGGACAAATTGGCACAGTGCTGCCTCTGAGTGACGGCAAGAGGGTGTGGGGGTGGGTGAGGAAGGGGGGGGGTGCGGTGTGCCTGGGGAGATGGACACAGGAGACATGAACTAGGAAGCCGTTTGTGCTCAGGAAAGAGGCAATGAGAACCAGCCCCAGGCAATGGAAATCAGAGCAGAGAGAATGAAGAAAAGACAGGAGACATTGCAAAGAAAGGCCGTTGAACACCTGGCTCCTGGGAAGTAAAAGCAAAGGAAAGAAATCAAGGTCACCCTCACATTTCTGAGCCAGGGACTACGGCAATAAGTCATTAATGACGCCTCGGACAACAGGCAGGGAAGTTGAGAGAGAGAGACAGCTTGTAGGAGAAGACAGTGTGTTTAAGCTTTGGGCAGGTTGAAATCAAGGCAAAACAATCCAAGTTCAGGAATAGAGCTGGGCAAGAGGACACAACTGCACATACAGATCGGAGGCTGTCATCACTTATAATTCTGGGCCTGCACCTTCAACACCTCCACCC